TTAATCGGTACAAAGCGTAAAGGCCAGTTTATAGTTTTTAAACGAGCGGTGTAATGTATTATTTACCGTAACATTGCAGAGCAGAGACAGCCATTTGTCAGCGTTATTCCTCTGAGTAACGTTAAAGCTCATCACCACAGGAGTAACTAGCAGAAAGGTGCGTCTCATTTCGCTCCCTATGTAGTCAGCCAGTTTATAGTAACGTTACACGTAAATTACTGAGGTAAAGTTGGTTTTAAATTCGCACATTCAGACTTTCTCCTTAATAATATCATTTCAGAAAAATACTATTTGCAAATTCTAAATAGCGAAGTCAATGACTATCAAAGTACAACAGTGTTCACAGTTAAATAAACAGTGCTAATGTTGTTACTTGTGATTTCAAACCCTGTATTCAAATCAGCGTAGTAGATAATAAAGGGAATGTTAATGATGGAATGTGCGAATATAAAACCAACTTTACCTCAATAATTCAGACCACGAGTCCACATATGGACATCATCTTTCTCCAAAAGTACATCATATCAAAAGATGATACTTGGATTTTTATTCTAATTAGGTTCCAATAAGCCCAAATTGCAAAGAGGTTCCTTATAAGAAATACCTTAAGAGGTTAAAGTATGTAAAAATGACTTCAAAACAACATTAGCACAATTTATTTGACTGTGAACAGTGTCGTACTTTGAAAGTCATCTGGTAATAAGATGATTTCACTATTTATAATTGGCAAAGAATATTTTACCGAAATTATATTAGGAATGTTAAAGAAGTCCAAATGTGCAAATATAAAGCCAGCTTCACCTCAATACACAAATTCGATAAAGAGTCGAGAAAAATGGCAGTATTATTAGCCTTAAATCGTTGACCAGACAGTAGACAACAGGAAAACAAACGTGTGTCCATTGAGTAACATTATTTTGTTTATGTACCGTGTTGTCCATCGTTTTTTAAAATGCGTTACGTTAAATTCTTTGTGCTTTTGTTAACGTCTCAATGTTTAAAAACGATCAACCATTGAAATGAAAGACGGATAGATTATAATAATTGTTTGTTTTTGTAGGTTAGAAATATTTTTTTTTTTTTGCAAATATTCGTAGCAAAAATTGTTGAATATTTTTTTTTTTTTTTTAATAATTGTATTTTATTGGATTTTTCAAGAACAACCACAAAGACACACACACATATATATACACACATACACAAACACACACAACACTAGGCACTGTCTCGGACAAATCCCGTACAATGAGTCAATAAACAAATAACAATGGCATCACAGTTTAGCAAGTGACAACAGAAAATAGAATAAAGTAGTAAAATTCAATAATTAAATATGTAAATTAAGTCTCTGAAGTATCTTCAGAGGTTGAGTGGCTGGTTTGCTCATCTAGATAGTTTAGAAATAAACCCCAAACACTGAAAAATTTTTCAATTGAATGAGTCCTCAAAAATCTCAGTCTTTCAATCTGTATTACCGAAGTCATGTCTGCAATCCACATTTGAAATGTAGGAGGTGAAGATGACTTCCAATGTCGAAGCAAAAGCCTTTTGGCCACAATCATACCTAAAGACAAAGACTGCTGGAGGCCATGTGGGAGATGAGAAATGTGTTGTGAATATCCAAAAATAGAAAGTTCTGCATCAGGTGGTAAAGATTTGACATACGCTTTAGAGTACCAATCGAATACGTTTGACCAAAATGTATATAAATTGTTGAATAGTTTAATGAAAAATGTATATATTGACTAAACCTCAAATCATTTTGTTATAAGTCATGGGCCAGACGGAATCTGCAGACGTTCTTTGCTATTTCTGCGAAGAATTTTGTAAAAATTTGCGGATTTCTGCGGAATTATTTTGGGAGTTTCATAACTAAAACATTAATATGTAAAAAAAAAAAAAAAAAAAGGTTTTTAACTTTTCTTTAATGTTTAAAATGCAAATCTAATTACATTCACTTTATTTGGTAAACAAAGCAAGTCTCTCATATAATATCTCTACTAAAAGACAGAAAATATTACTGCACAACTGCATTGTACATAAATCAGATGAACATTTTCACATTAGTCAATAATATTACTAAAATTAATAAAAAAAAACTGAATAAATATAGATTTACACACATTTACTCACGTAAATAAACAGAATTAATGATGGGCTAAACATCTGCGTGCGCATATTCCGCGTGGGCCAAGTCACGACTAAATATGCAGTCTATGTAGAAGTAGTTTCTTCAATATTTATCGAATGATAAAGCTTTAAACTGACCACATTTTGGAGTGTTTTTAATGTGTAGTGAGACGCATTTAGAGATGTAACCTGGATTTATCATTCAGGTAATTATGTGTATATTTAACACGCCATTGTGTTCACATCACAGAGGAAAACTCCTGCTGAAGCGACTGATCTCCACACGGTTATAAAGATGGCGTTTATTAAAGAGGAGAGTGAAGACCTGAAGATTGAACACACATTCACGGTCAAACATGAAGATCGTGACAAACAAACAGGTTGGTGTTGTAAAAGCTGCTGTTTTTAACATTGATTGTTTTTCTGCTTGGCTAGCCAATCCTGACAGAGATGTACATTGATATCTTATTTCTTTATGTGATATAAACACGTAGCATTTTGCTTAGCACCATGATTATGATAGTTAAACTATTATCTTCATTGTCACGACCAGGGCCGGCCTCGTACATTTCGGGCCCCTAAGCAGAATGATTTTAGAGGCCTACTTTTGGTCTGAATGGTGGAGTATTGCCATTGAAAACCGGCCCACAATGGTTTTGTGACTTATTTAATACAATCAGTTAGGCTTGGGCGGTATCTAAATTTTAATACCGTCAAACCTCCTCCCTATATTACCTCGGTATACGGTATTACCCTGCATAATGAAAAAATATTTGATGTAAGGCTCAGACAGCATCACCAAACTGTTGGCTTTTGCCTAAACCAATTAGAAACTGAATACCGTATAGGCGACCTTAGCTTCGCGGTCACCTGTTTGTTGCACAATCTGCAAATTGTCTTGTTCGTTTTAGAGATCTGCGCGTTGTCTGTATAAACATACATAGACACACAGCACCACGCTCTCTCTCATATTCACACACACACACACTCATAGACAGCACCAAACAAGCGACACACATCTCACTCTCTCTCATTCACACACACACATACACAAACAGCAGACACGCGGATCCGCGCATATTGTTAGACCGCCTGTTCAAATTACACCAGAGTTACCGACCGCTCCCGCGCTTTATTCAGACATTTATTCCCGCACCGCAAGAAATCTGGTCGGGTCCCGCTGGAATGCAAACCGCTAGTTCGTACTTACAACGTCTTCCTTTTCGTTCGGTCAAAATACTGCCAAATTGCAGAGGTTGTGTTCTTTTTCGAGACCTGGGGCCTCATGTACGAAGACTTGCGTTGAAATCATACTAAAACATTGCGTACGCACAAAGTTGTAAATGTGAGTACGCAGAAAAAAATTCAGATGTATGAAACACTGCGTACGCCGAATCTCACGCATATTCTTTTGTACATCTGAATGAACGTGAAACTGAGCGCAACATGCACGAGTGCAAAACCCCTCCCTGCCTCCTCCCCCGTATGAATATGCTAATTTATAATCTACTTATGGCAAAACCCAACGAAAAAGCAACGGCAAAAGCAAGCGAAAAGAGAAACTTTGAACAGATCGTGAATTGGAGGTGCTGCTTTCGGAGGTAGACCGGAGAAAAGCGGTGTTATTTGCAAGTTTGTCCTCCGGAATTAACAACAAAAGAAAAAAATAGAGTGGGAGAGTTTAGCTGACGAAGTTAACATAGTTAAGTCTGAACATCGCACTGTGGAGTTAAAAGAGAAATAGTGGGATTTATAGGTGTAAAATGTTGTAATTGCCCTCAACAGTCTCAGTGGCGCAGCTCGTAAAACGCAGGTCAACATGTTCTGACATGTTAAAGCATGAACTCGGTTCGAATCCAGCGTCTGATGAACTTCTTTTTTTCCCCCGCTACATATCAGATTTTGCCAACTATTTATTACGAGAAAGACAAGTAGAAATCATTAATAGGTCTGTGCATCATATTTTATTTGCACATTTATTAAATGGAAATGTTTCTGATTCACGTATGCAAATTCATCTACAGACGGTGCCTTTATAGCAATGTGCGTGCGGTAGATCGCACAAAGGGAAAACAGGCGACCGCTACAAATTGAGCTTTAATGTTTGGCTGGTCAACTGTATGGTACGGAAACCTTATATACCTACTAGATGAACCCGTCTCATACAGCTGCCATTGCACGGCTCAGACACTTTGTAGAGAGCAATTTAACACAACTGCCTCTAGGAGTCGCCAATGGAAGTAAAACAGACACGCACAAAAAATGTGCGTACGCCAGCCATGAAGCTGGCGTGGAGCTGTGCACATTCCCACGTTCAGTTCATCGTTAGTAAATCCAAACGTGAGCGATTCTGAGCGTGAAACCTGGCGTACGCAAAGTTTTTGTGCGTACAAAGCGTTGATACATGAGGCCCCAGATCACTTGCTGCGTGACTCGCCATCTTACCTCACCTCTCTCTCTCTCCTCCACACTGTCCCGTGATGACAATCACGCATACACATATGTAGGCATTAAATAAGTAATATTTAATACGTGTCTCCTATATAAGTACATTGTTTTTTAATTAGGGTTGGGCGATGTCGACCAATTTGGCATCGTACGATGTCTAATGTGAAACATCGTGATGGACGATGGCATCATCATCATAGGCAGAGGTGAATTCATTTTTTTATGAATAATTAATGAACTCATAATAAATTAGTTATTTGTAGCCTACCGTTTCAACTACTTGACCCGCATGCTTTCTGTTTTACCCATAAACAAATAAAGATAAGTAAAACACAATAAGTCCGTGGGAGGTTGGTCAGTATAAAAGGTGCACAATCAACAGTATCTGCGGTTTTCGCTAAAATTACTAAGCACAAGTGTGAATGTGAAAGACTTACCGTACGTTCACACCGAAAGCGGCGAGAGCGTCAAAGTAGCCGGAAGTCATTAATTTTCAATGAGAGCCGGCGGCGATAGGCGACGATAAGCGGCGAGGAGCAGCGCGGCGCGTCTTCGCCGGCGTGAGCGTCGAGGAGAGTTGAAATGAAGTCAACTTTATGGTAATGAGCTATGACGCGGCTCGGCGGCAAGCAATCAGAATGAAGACGTCCACCGCTTGATAGCAGTTCAGAGAACACAGACCTGTGAACTTTGGTTCCGACCACAGTTGTTCCCAAGGGTTTGATTATTGCGGTCGCCGGATTTACAATTATTTACAATTTTTTCCTACAGGAACATACTTTAAATAAGTTACTGGCGAGTTACTGATGTTCATTAATGTTATATATTTATCTTAAAAAAGCGGGATAATGTAGATTAATGTAGATTAATGTAGCGAGTTTTGACGCTCTCGCCGCAGGAGCTGAAGGCAGAGAGCGTTGTCGCCAGGGCGGCCAGAGCGACCTTGGACGCTCTCGCCGCTTTCGGTGTGAACGTACGGTTATGCAGTTTACTGACGCTGTGACACGTTACGTGATAGATTCACAAGGCCAAAAAGTCGTCAGATGGAGACAAGATGAATTAAAAATCACGTTTAACACCAATAGTGAGACGCCATCCAGCGGTACATCCTTAATAAACTGTCCGACGTGCGGTGCTCTCTGGAGCTACGAGCGCATGACAGTGTATGTGTGTGTGTGTGGTCACGTGATGTGCGTTTTCAGCGGACGGAGGGCTGTTCAGAAATGCTTGGTAAAACACGGCGTGGATGTGGATAATTTTCGTTCAAAAATGGCATTTTAATACTAAGACGTATTAGTGTAAACGGGGCCAAGTGTGTATTTTTCGCAAGCGGGTTTACGGCGGGGGCGGAGGATCGGCGATGCCGGCTCGGTATCGTGTTATCTATCAGCCATTGGCGATAGACGATGACATCGTCTATCGGCGCAACCCTAGGTATAATGGTATTGAAACTGAAACCGTTGCTATTTTTAGATCCCGCGGTATAACATATTACTGTCCAAGCCTACAATTGGTGAAAGTAAACAAAGTAAAACCTGATTTCTTTTACTTAATAACTGTCTGAGTGATTAGGACATATTAAAGAGCCCATATTATACATGAAATAGGGTCATATCTTGGTTGTAAGGGTCTCCAACAACAGTCTAATATGCATGCAAGGTCAAAAAACACTTTCATGGTCTAATAATCTGCATTTATTTTTACCTAATTATCCCAGCGACTCCCGTATGAATCGTCCAGTGATTCATTTGTTCCCAAACCCCTCCTTAGCGCGAAGCTAATCTGCGCTGATTGGACCAATGACAGTCTGTTGCGATTGGTCGACTGCCTTCAGTCAGAGAGTGAAATGCCAAACAGCTAATCAGCAATATAAAAGTAATCACAGTTCATACACGCTCGATAGTGTAGGCGTGGATTTTAGCTGCCAGTGGGTCAATGTAAATATAGACGATGGACTTGAAAATACAGACGACTATTTTATTGAGCAAAAACTCCAAAAACTGTCGAGGAGATCACATAGCTTGTTTCACTCTGCTCTTTTCACAGACACAGACACACACACACACACACATTGCCCTCGTCCTTGCGGGCACACGCACACACACACAAAAACACACACGCACTACCCTCGTCCACGGAGCTCCGTAAACAAAGCAGCACGCGTCGCGTTTTTAACGTGACTTTGCACGCGATAAGAGAATATAGCCAGTTAACCTGATACAGTACACGCGGTTACAAGTAACAAATCACAACTAAACACATTTGCAAGCTAGAGTCAACGAGGCAACAACTTTAATCGCACGTACTTACACTTGAGAAATGGAGGAAGAAACCCATCCTGACGTCCATCAGTAAGTTACTCTTTACTGATCCTTCCTTTAACAAACGCAGATGGAGTATTCTTTGTAGTATGTAGTTTGCAGAAGTTTCCAACTGCTTGGTTATAATGCTGAGGTTTCATCTCTGGGTAGAGACTCGATAATATCCATCTGCAGTGTGACTTCAATCGACCGGCATGTTTGTGTGCGTGCGTGTGTGTGTGTGTGTCTGGGTTTCTGCGTCAGAGGGCGGGGCCTCAGGTTTCAAATCTCCCGGGTTTGCGCGTGCACGTGAATAACTTGGTTTCGTTCGTTCGTCATGGCGAAACACCTAATGACTCGGTATCAAGGCGACTCGTTTGAAGCACTATGAGTCGACTCTTTTATAGATGAATCAACCGTTTTAAACACTGAACTCTTACAGATTTAAGCCTTAGCTGGATACTTCACTTCACTTAGAGCTGTGTTACACACTACATGGAGGGGAATTTTCAAAAACCCATAATATGGGCTCTTTAAAACAGCACTGTTATTAGCAGCTTCAAAAGTGAAGAAATAAACAATCTTTAATAAAGGGACCAGTGATTCCTACTTTGTGTCCTTCTGGAGTGTTTAAAACTAATTCATTTATTTATTAATTTAGCAAACAGATTGAAGATTCTATAAAAGATTTTAGATCTTTAGATAGAGATTTTAGATTCTAGATTCTTCTTCCCCCTGCATTAAAACAACAGTGAACATTAATTATTTAAATGCATTACTTAGTAATAAAATGTACATTTTCAACTCATTAAAAACTCAACAAAACAACAACAAAACAATTAACATTAGTGCAAAGATTAATCCATAAATAATAAAATCAATAAGCAAATAATATAAATATGAAAAATATTCATATAAAAATCATAGAAAAAACGGGAGGCAACAAATACTGGATTAATGTTATTCTCTTCAGTCTTCTTCCCTGTTCCTTACATTTGGGATGCAAGGTCCAGAGCTTATATTAGACTATGATCAATTCAATTAGGACATCACTTTTATAAACATGTCTCTGGAAAAATAAAAAATTAAACCAGCATGCAAAATTTGTCAGTGAAAGACACTTCAGTACTATTGCATTTCCTTAAATGCGTTTTAGACTAAAGGGTCCGTAAAACCAGAATAAATTTAATATTTCATATAACAAGACGACGTTTATGAATCTGTAATCACCTTTTCTCATTTTCTATAATTGTGCTATTAGTTTATGTCTTTAACATCATCATTAGCATTTAAAAGCGATGCTAAAAATGAATTTAGGCTCGTCTTTTCTCGTTGCGTTTTTTTTATGCCTGAAGGATAACGTTAGTTCCGTTTAATTTTCGTGGTAAATATCATGAAAAATATGAAAAATATGGTAAAAAATCATGATTTTTTTTGATGTTGCTTAATAGTTAATAATAAGTTATTAAGTTAATAATAATATAGTTAGTAATAAACATCCCAGATGTAGAAAATTTGAATTTTCTGACTATTTTTTCTCATGTCAGGTCTTACAGGGTTAATAACCTAAGAAAGCATTTAGATCCCACCACAACTTGTTCCGTCATCATTATGTTTTACAGGGAAGCCGAAATGCTTTCATAAACATGATTTAAATGACGCGGGAGGCGATCTCTCTGCAGTTGTTCTAAATGTTGAATAAACCTACAAGCGTGATCTGTTACACCCCTAGTGAAGTATGTAGTTATTTAGCCGTTTATGCTAACTTTTCAGCTCGTACTGGCTGTCAGCAATATTATAAAGTGTTGTCCTGTTCAAACAAAGTTCTTATATATGTTTCTATAGTTCACCATTTAATAGCATGTGTTCCTCTCTTGTCTTTAAATGATTATTGATATATTTATTATGTCTTGCTTTAGACCTGACGGCACCGAAAGTGGAGCGCCAAGAAACGAATGAATTGGAAGAAAGAAATCAGCATGACAAACGTGACTCCGCAATTGGCGAAAAATCCACACATACTCAAGACGCTTCCTTACTAAAAAGGCCCCAGAGCGCTGAATCCAGCGGTTATTATATCTGCGGCGAGTGTAACAAGTCCTTCGGTCTAAAACAAAACCTGGAAGTTCACAAGAGAACCCACACCGGAGAGAAACCGTTCTCCTGCCAGCAGTGCGGCAAGAGTTTCTCTCAAAAGCAGAACCTGAAAGTGCACATGAGAGTTCACACCGGAGAGAAGCCCTTCAGCTGCCCGTTCTGCGGCCAGAACTTCACGCACAAAGGAAACCTCAAAACCCACGTGAGGAATCACACCGGCGAGAGCGCCTTCATCTGCAACCTCTGTGGCAAGAGCTTCTCCCGGAAGGAGAGTCTGAACACTCACATGAGGATTCACTCCGGAGAGAAGCCGTTCGGCTGTGCTCAGTGCGGAAAGTCGTTCAGATGCAAGGTAAATCTGAATTGCCACATGAGGATCCACTCGCGGGAGAGCAGCTTCATCTGTCATCACTGTGAACAGAGTTTCGGCGACAGCGATGAACTCAGGAGTCACGTGAACACTCATGTCGGAGAGAAGCCCTTCATGTGCCTTCACTGCGGAAAGAGCTGCTCGAATAAAGCCGTCCTGGAGGTGCACAGTCGGATCCACACCGGAGAGAGACCCTTCGTCTGCCCTCAGTGCGGAAAGAGCTTCACGCTCAGGGGAAACCTGAACATTCACATCAGAGTTCACACCGGAGAGAAGCCGTTCAACTGCGTTCACTGCGAGAAGAGCTTCACCTACCACACAGACCTCAAACGCCATTTGCAGAGTCCCTGTGAAAAGAACTCGCCATGAGCCCTTCATTAAACAAATACTGCACCACCTGGTGAATTATAAAATGCGCTGTTCACATAGGCAACGATGTTTTTTAGTTTAGCTGGAAAAGCTCTATTGACACATCCATTCCAAAATACTCTGACATCGATAACCAGAAATGGTTTCTGACTGTTGATTCTGGAAAATGCGCATGTCTAGTTTTACTACACCTGCATTTGACACAATACTTCACAATATTTTGATTGAGCGTTGTGCTGATTTCCCTTTATTTAATCACCCTAATTAAACAAAGTTAAGATCAGGATCCTCCCTTAGCTATATTTCTTAGCAAGAGTTTAGTTTAAGGATCGTGTTTAAAGAACGTAGTTTGCAAAAGAATAAATTAGAGCATACTTTACCACACAGGGTAACTTAGATGGGTTCTGGAAAAGGAAGTCAATGTCCACTCCAGTGAAGAAAATTAATAAAATACACTTTTATTAATAAAATAAAATCCAGTGAAAAAGTAGAACAAACAAAAGACAAACAGAAAACAAGAAATCCTTACTTTGCCTCCCGTTGGAGACAAAGGGCAACCAACCTCAATGAACAGAAGTCGGGAAGCGCAAAGCTGAAGAGTACAAGTCAGCTTTTATACTCAATGTCTCATATAATAGTGTTCATAAATCATGCAAAAACTGCTTAACTCATACATTCAAGGAGCATGCTAAATCACTTGAACAATAGGAAGACAGATATATGAGTACATAGAAATCAATACATGGGCCTTTTTAATATCAGCCTCACTTCCCTCAGTTATGCCCCAGATTTAGGTGTTCGAGCTCGGCAAGGAGCTGGGTAGAGGGCTCGGTAGAAGTACGAGGAGGGGGTTCATTTAAAGTACAAGGGAGGGGGTAGCCTGAGGTACCTAAGGGTTCACAGAGAGTTCGTCCAGCTGGTTTGTTGATTCGGCGCGCCCTCTGCCGGAGCCGCCTGTTCTGTCTCTTACGTTTCACTTCATCACTAAGAGTTGTGCTTTTACGCATAGGAATATCAGAATACATCAGTGATCTTTTGTGTCTCACATGATTAATGTCATCTGACCCATCAACCATCACAGCGTTTAAGATTGTGGGCTGGTATTCAAGGAAATGTTTTGAATTTAGTTCTTATCTCTTAGGGAGAACCTTCTCTATTGAAGTAGGACACTTTTCTTCCTCATCTGCACGTATGGAGTGTGGTGTCCCCCAAGGATCCACTTTGGGCCCAGCTCTTTTTTCGGTCCCACTTTATATTAAGTGTCCCTAACTACTATGTACTTACATCAAAAAATAAATACAATGTACTGTGTTTATGATGTATTTGAGAACACTTGTGGTGCTTTTGGGTTGGAATAGAGGTTGGGTTATGGACAGGTTTGGTGGCATGGGTAGGTTTAAGGGTGGGTTAAGGTGTAGGGAATGGTCAACAGTGTATTTACAAATGTAATTACAAAAGTTAATTACAGATGTAATTACATACATGTATTTAATCAAGCATAAGTACACAGTAAATACATGTATTTACACAATAAGTACATTGTAACAAACTATTAGCTCCTATGCAAGTACATTTTAGTTAATGCCACTTAATATAAAGTGGGACCTTTTTTTCCATCTACATGCTTCCCTTGGTATGGAATAAAATCAGTGTCATAAATATTTCATGCGTAAATAAAATTCACGCATGTGTAATTCTAAAATCGTAAAGGAAAACGGAGCGTACTCGTAATTTTAGAAGAGTACAAGTCCGAAATCTGCGATTAGAACAGACAGATATGACATTTTCTTTGTCTGTTTGTATATGACTGATACATTTACGAGGGGTAGTGATGCACCGATACCGATACCAGTATCGGGTCGATACTTGGTTCAAATACTCGTACTCGTATCGGACATGAAAGGCCGATACCACGCACCGATACCACTCAACAGTAATTCACTACATGGATGTGATTTGTTGTCCTACCTGACTTCAATGTCTTAATGTTTTAATTAGCCCAATGTATTATATAATAATAGCTTAGTCCTTATAAACAGTCCATTTATAAAATACATTATTGACGAATCTTTAGGCTACTGAAGAATAAACCGAATATGCAATATGATCCTTGCGTAATGATCACAGCGAAACAAGCTAGCACTCATTTTATTCATAAACTATAAATAAAATAAAATGAAAGATATTTTAAGTAATAGAACATGATGTAAAAAACTAAAGACTACAGGCTAAATAAAAGCTTATAGTCAGTGCTGAGCATCTGCGGTCACCGATTCTGTAAAGAGCAGACAGACAGATCACACAGATCTCAATAAACACCATGTCAATGTAGAAATGTTTCTTTAAGTATCGTTAATGGGATAGTTATAACGATATGATCTTGTTTTTGGTTATATGCCAGCTTTGAGCTCTTTAAGCACGCGCTCTCTCTCTCGCCAGATGGCAGGTGACATGCGAGGGCAACACACATAGGCTACATACACTGGCAAGATGACAATTTTTTTAAATGCCTTTTATATTTTAAAATCTCTCGGTAATATAGGCTAGCATATATATATCGGCAGGGCTCGGAATTAACCTTTTTGCTTGGTAGCACCGGTGCTCCTAACTTTAAAAATTTAGGCGCATCAGCCAAAATTTAGTCGCACCACCAATTATGAGCACCGTTACTACAAGTTTTATACAAACAGATTTATTGTATTTGAAATCAACACTAATCAAACTAACAAGCAAAAAAAAAAAATATATATATATATATATAAATATGCGTACGTGCCGAAAATATGTCTCAACGAAATCCCGTTATCACAAGAAAATACATTTTTATAACAGAACTGAGTGAGCAAAGCATACACGGAGCGCTCACCGGCCCTGCACGCACTGCTTGAATGAATCTGTTAACGGTATAACTGTGCTGTTCTCACAAGTGCTGTCGGATATTGCACTGATGCTTTTGACATATACTGTACCTTATTATATGCATACTTCATGTTAATAGCCATACCGGCCTTTTCATGAGTAGCGATATTAATTTACTCAGTGTAAGCCCGTTTGCGATGGTGTACGTGATGTTAAATTTGACATATAGTTGCCCCTTGCACAGCGGACAGCATCTGGCGATTATATGAAGGATTAAACAGAAGCTCTCGTGCAAGATGTGGCAAACAGTTACCTGAAAACTCCATCCCACGGACTTTTTATATCGGACTTGAAGCCAACAGAAGTCTTCAACTCTTGGAAAAGTGTAGATGGTGGATTAACATTCAGCACATGATCACTAGTAAGATGTGTCATTATTTGTAACTAGATGGTTTCTAAAACTAAATCTGTCCGCGTTATCTTCAATCTCATCTTTAGCGCTTTAGTTTTCCGCGTAGTAGCTCTCTGTCATCCGAAGCCAGAAGGCGCTGACTGAGTGATTGACAGCTGATATTAACCAATCATTCGCGTTCAGCGCTAGAGCAGTGGGCCAATAAGAAGAGCGTGAAGGCGGGGCAAGCATTACGGACTTGGCTTTGTTTACTGCAGCAAGTCGACATGACAACTGTTTTAAACCATTCCTGAGCGCTGCGTTTCCCGTTCCAAGTGCAGACAAAGAGCTTAGAGATGAATTCTGCGTGAATGTCTCCCGAATCCGCGCATGTGGTGAACATTTTGCAGTAAAAACTGGTCGCACACAACAATTTTAAGCACTCGCAGAAATGCTCCCAAATATATTTTAAGGTCGCATAGATAAAATTTCGTCGCATATGCGCCCAAAATGGTCGCAATTTCGAGCCCTGATCGGTAATATATCGGATAGCATAATCTCCCTCAGATGTTGGCGTTCAATAACGTGGTGCGCAGTAACCAAACACCGCCCTGTATGCTTACACACCGCTTACAGCTCTGGTGTGTTATAAATTGCATGTTTAAATGACAGCGAGACATGCTACATTTAGTTTTTATCGTAAAATATACATTTTAATCCTAATCCAGTACACAGTAAAATAATTTTTTTGAATGCTCGTCTATTGGCGGTGTATATAGCCGTTAAGCTTAAATAGGCTGAGCATAGTTTTATTAATATTAAAACACATTAATACAAACTAGATTTAATTTTTTTTCGTTTCCGTATATTTTTTATTAAACGAAAAACGCAATGAATTGTTTATTTTGGTTTTCATTTTATTAGAATTAATATAGCCTAATTATTGGCGACTTAACTTCTACATAGCCTAATATCAGCTCTGATTGCGTTCATACAGATATCCTACAAATAGACTTTTTGGCTCAAAGATATTTATGCCTGTTAGTTTCAGTGCTGTATTTTCACAGATTTCGCAAAGGCTTCAGCTATTCTGTCAGCTGGTACCAGCCTCAGTTTTGCGACTTGACTCGTGTGGCGTCTGCATCAATGTCTGCATGACAGCTAGAGCGAGATGAGATCAGACCTCATAGATTCGATGTGTGGCCGCACGTCACAGTTATTTTACTGCAGTATTCGAATATTGGCTCATCTAAATTAACTTTCCATTTTATTAAAAGTCTAAATATTGCAGACAGACGAAGCAACTTTCGGTTTTTGAAGAGAGCGGCTTCAGTGATAAAAGACATGCGCAGGATACTCTCTAGTAGGGCTATTCAATATTGATATATATCAATATAATAATATTCAATATATCAATTTTTTAACATTAAACGCATAATAGTCAGGAGCAAAAAGAAGAGCTGAACTTCGGAAAAAGTGATTATACGGTTGTCGCGATGGTTGCTTGTTTCTCTGCAGTTGGCTTGTCAGTGCTTTTTGTTTTAATTAAAAAAAATATGATTATTCATTAATAAACACTGTGAGATGATGGTCGCGTGATTTTTAAAATAAGGGTATGCGTTGCATTTTTATGGCTATTGGTCTTATCTACCCGCGACCCACTCATAGTTAAATATCAAGTAGCCGACTTTTTGTATTCCTGACCCGCAGATCACACATCACAAGGCAGGACTCCTGAATATGAAAGAATCGCGCATAACAAGGTTTTATGAGTCCCCAATATGCAATGAGCGTGACCCCATAAGGTAACTTACACTGCGCACACATTGTGTAGTGTGTGAAGTCGTCGAGGAATGTCAGGATAACTAGTCTTTTAATTGTCCGTGCTTAATGGATTTGCAGGGTCATCAATAATGTGTGTACATTTTTGGCTTGGAATAGCCTTCTGTTAAAAGATTTTTGTGTTCATCCTTGCTACAGGCAAAAAAAAAAAACAAATAAACTTCATTCTAGCCAAATCTATGAAGTATCGGTAC